TTTGTATTCCCCTCCCCATGAATTGTAAGCTGCCCTGAGTCCCCCCAGGGAAAAGGGCGGCCTATAAATAAACTTTCCAATTCCAATTCCAATTCTTACATTTTTCTGAGTCAATTATTTTATAATTCTGTTCTCAGGTATGACAAACACCACATGGAAAGTAGCCTGACATACTAATTTCATTCCCAAATCAAAATGTTAGAAACTAAGCAAACCAAGTTTGATTAGTACAGGGAAATAGGCTAGACTGCTAATTCAACAAACATCCTGGAAATAATGTAAATAGGAAACTGACAGATTTCCAAAGATGAAGAAACAGAAGAAAACAAAATGGATATGGGGGGGGGAGGGATTGCTGAGAAGAGAAAAAAATACCTTAACTCATCCTAACTCCTTATTTTAAGGCTAATTTTTCTAATTGTGCTTAAACTTTATACCTTCAGTAGTGTCATCATACTGGCAGACTTCACTTGTGACCAAAATTGGGATCAGCAGCTCCATTGTAAAGCATGGGGAATCATGTGACTGCTTTCCTTTCTCTACTCCTCCACTCTCTGGACTGCTCATCCCACTAATGTGCTAATTAGCAAGAAGGGAATGTTCTAGTTACATTGATTGGAGAGGAAAGGATTACAAGAGAGTAAGAAGGTATACAATGGGTATACATGTTGAAAGGAATGTGGCTGAAGCAATGAGTATGCTTGGCATACACCTGATGGTGTGCCAGTTTATTCTCGTATTCTGTCACTGGGGCGGGAGGTGGGGAGTGATTTTATTACATTAATTTATTTGATTTTTTATTAATTTTATTGTTTTTAGATGTGATTTTTATATGCTGTAAGCTGCCTTGAGTCCCCATGGGCGAATAGGCGACTAAATTTAATAATAAATAAAAAATAAAATAAATATTTCCTATTGCTTCCTATTGAAAAACAATGGGTCAGGACAGAGACAACATGTTGTGGCTACAATGGCAATCATGTGACTGAGGGACGCTGCAAAGGTTATAAATGTGGGCATTGGTTGTAAAGTCATTTTTTCAGCATCGTTATAATTTTGAACGATTGCTGAATGAAGCAGTTGCTAAGTGAGGACTACTTGTATTTAGAGGGACTGGATTTTTACTATTATAATAAAGTTCCAAGGTCACAGAGGTGAAAGAGGACTGGATCACAGTCCTGTTTTGCAGAGACCCAACTCCTCTTTGTCTGAATTCAAACTTTCCTTGGTCCCATACGAATGAAGACTCTTCCTCCATTGGGTGCAAAATGCAGCTGTATTTGATTCTTCTATATCAGGAGATGGGTTTTGCAAACCCTGAAGGAGTGGAAATGAGAAAAATGTTACACAGTTTTAACATTAAAACGGTTCATGGCAAAATGTTTTAGTGTTATAAGTTAAAGGTGTCCCTTGCACATATGTGCTAGTCGTTCCCGACTCTAGAGAGTGGTGCTCATCTCCTTTTCAAAGCCGAAGAGCCAGCGCTGTCCGAAGACGTCTCCGTAGTCATGTGGCCGGCATGACTCAAAGGGTTACGGAACGCTGTTACCTTCCCACCAAAGGTGGTCCCTATTTTTCTACTTGCATTTTTATATGCTTTCTAACTGCTAGGTTGGCAGAAGCTGGGACAAGTAATGGGAACTCACTCCGTTACGCGGCTCTAGGGATTCGAACCACTGAACTGCTGACCTTTCTGATTGACAAGCTCAGCGTCTTAGCTGCTGAGCCATCTTAGTGTTATACACCCTTAGTGTTATACAATTCCTTAAAAAAACTTCCCATCAAAATATTTTGGGACACAAAAAGGAACATTGAGAACATTGATCAAAATTCAAGAATACCTACAAGGAAGATTTTATTGCTGCAGCAATA